AGAGAGAGACTGCAGAAGAAAGGAATTGTTATATATTTTAGTACCTTTAATGCACTTTTTCCCTACTTTCAGAACAGGGAGCTCCACATTTTCATTTTGCACTGGGCCCCACCAATTATGTAGCTGGCCCTGGGGGCAAGTGTTTGAATATTGAAGCTTTCAGGGGACATAGGGGGAGGTTCTTGTGGAGGGTCACGCTGCGGGTTCACTCACATTAACCTCAAGATCTCTGGCTGACCTCGTGTGACCCCACATCTTTCCTGTCCATGCCAGTGGACCCACCACCTCCTAATGCTTGGCTTTCCTCACCCGCTATGTCACGCCCTTCGGTACTTTCCACAGCTCGCACTCAGCCCAGCAAGTGTTCAAAGACCCCTGACGTGACACAGGGTTGACATACAGTAGGTTGCCCCATGCTGCCTTTTTGCCTCAGAGAGGTGCTGTGAGGGTACCTCCTGCCTCTTTCTTTAGGATCCTCCAGGCAAGAAGCAGCCACTTGTCTGTTCACAAATCGTCCCCAAACTCCCACGGCCGCATCTCAGGGAGCCAAGAACTTTGTGACCACACTGGGATCTTCTCTGATAGCAGCCCCAGAGCAGACCAGCAGACCCCACAGCTCAGCAAGCAGACACCTGAACCTCTCTGCTGGCTCCAGAGTCCCTGTCACTCGGCTGCGGGGAGGAAGGGAAATGCCACAGCATCTCCCCTAGGCTGCTGATCTGCTCTTCCCATGTATTCCCTTTCCCCACAAACCTCCCCACTGTTTCTAGTCTTCTCTCTGAGTGCTCTGAACATGGGTGATGGCGGAACTTGTTGGGGCCCTTTTAGAGAGTCCTAAGAGCCATGTCTCCTCTTGAGAATGTGGTGGACTTACCTGCAGGACAGTGTGAGGGTAAAAGCTGTCATAATGGCGACATTCTCTCACCCATCCATAACTTTCTCTGTTAGTCTCCCAGGAAACGTTTCGTGTAGGAGCTTGTTTACTTTATACAAAACGATCAATGAGTGTGAACCTAAAGCACCTGTGCAAGAGTACATCTGGTTTTTATAAGAATCCTGGACAAGTCCATTTCAGGGTTTATGGGTAACATGGTAAGAGGACAACTCTGTAAGGAAAAGAGTCACTGGCCACAGCCCGAGGTGTGTGTTCACCCACAAGTGCTGGGCTGTTGGAGAAGGAAGGCCTGCAGTATCATTTGCTCTAGAAAGTTACGCGGCCTGTCGCTGACGCTCTTAGAGACGCAGGCGCCATAAGACACTGGATGGTAAGCAAGCAAAGAAAATTGGAGTACTAACCCAATGCGATTTGGTAGACCTTGAGTAACCAGTCTCAGAATGGGAGAAAGCCATTTCCTGCCTCCAGGGAGTTCAATACATAGTTATAGACACGTGTAAAATATAATTCCAAACAGTGATGGTATACTTTTTTTAAGTTAAATATATTGATTTCCGTGAGATGTATCATAACTATAATTTTGGAAGACTTCCGCCTGAGCCATTCTTTAAAAAAATTGGCTCTTCTGAAGTTATCATAAACCCAAGGTAATTCCACGGTGATATGGCTATGTCAATTTGAAGGTGTCTCTCTTGATGAGTTTTGTCAATGGAGTGAGGCATATACGTGTAAAAGGCTCAGTTGCATTTAATTAATTCTATGGATCATGTTCAAGATGCCATAAAGGATTTAACAGTAATGCCTCTCAGGTGAATTGCGTTTTACAGTTTTAAAACTCTTCTGCCCTCTCTCTCTCACCTGAGACTCATAGCAGCTTTATGAGTTAGAAAGCAAAATTCACCATTTTTACAGATGCAGAAACAGAGGTCCAAAGAGAGGATTTGTTGATAGGCAACATGGGGCTTTGATTTAAGTCTCAGATCTGCTATCCAACGGCTGTACAATTTGGAGCCAGTTAGTCAACTTCACTATGCCTCAGTTTCCATATATATATAAATATATATATAAATTATGTATGTATACATACATATATAAATTAGTCTAATATGTATATGTTACATAGTAGGTTAATATATACATATTAGACTAATGTTGTTTGTAAAAAGTCAGGATAATAATAATGGTATAGATATTAAATAAAGTTATATATAAGAAAGAAATTACTTAGATCTTTTCTGGATCAAAGTGAATACAAATACAGAGTGGGCACCAGTCATGTAATTTAAAAAAAATGTATGTGCTTCCTGGAGTTCTGCAATGTGATGGCTCTATGAAATAAAAGAAAATTTTAAAACAAAAATTCCTAATACAAATATTAGTCATTTTACAAGCTCTTCAATGTTTGTAGGTTGAATGAGTGATTCCAGTCAGACTGATTTTTCTCCTGATACCCTATGGAAGCTGGCTTACAGAATTTCAGAGCCAATAGGGCCAACACAGAACATCTGGTTCAATCTCACATTATAAATGAGGAAATAGCCTTGGCAAAGAGAGAGATGTCCGAGTTCATGTACTTGTTAAACCCAATAACCTGAAAAAGCACATTCACACCCCCTGCCTCTTAGATTCTTTGTGTCCAGCATCACTCTGATAGGAGGTGGAGGTAGGACAGTGATGCATTTTTGCAGCCTGACACCTGGGCAGGGCAGGCCTGCTCACCACGAGGTGGCTAAGAACCTAAAGCTCTGCCTAGGAGACCACAGGAGGGATGACAAACTTGTCTCTGAAAAGTTTTTTAACAAAGCAACCCAAAGAGTACGAAAGTAAAGCACCCCTGCTGGAGTGTAACTGATTTTCATGAGAATCATGGACAAGTCTATTTCAGAGTTTATGCGCAAAGTAAGATAAGGAAGGAATGCTCTCTTTCCTCTTACTGTCTTGCATCTTGTTCCCAGGATCCACAGGAGGATCATCAGTCTATTGATCACTGGTCTATTAACTCAGAAATCTGGGGGCTTCTGCAAGCTCTTCTGGGCGGGTCTGGGTTGCTGAGTCATCTATGACCATTGTTTCCATGAGAAAATGAATTACGGGAACAAAATAACTGGCTTTTAATGATTCTTTAGAATAAATGAGTTGGGGACTGCATAGTAGTCTGCTTCTTGCCCTCTGGAAGAACTTTAAACTCAATGGACTAAAAGCAAAAGATAAAAAAACAAAGTACTACTCAAGACAGTACATTAGGAATACATAAATTCTGGAAGTTCCCTGGGCAAGATAATGGGCTAGTCTCCACTCTCACCCCCTCTTCCTTACTCTATCTCTCCTCTTCTTCTTTACAGACATGCCAGGCACCGTGTGTAGGTCTGACAAGAATGACATTTTTTTGCTTGCCATGCTAAGAAATCTGGATTATAATGAGAATATCAGAGAGACTCCTGAAAGACTAATTTTGCATCAGGGGAACTCCTATGCAAAATCTTTGATTTTCCCAGAAGAGCTGACTTCAGTACGTACTTTTGTTCTGTTAGACATCCTATGGACTATTCAATATACTGGGAGATGTTTTTTGTGTTGACATTGGAACTTCTCCATGACAGACACAAAGTACTGCTTTTCCATGTAATGGACATGTGTAAGAATTTTCCATTTTCTGAATCCCTGTAACATTAATGCTGTTCTATATTATCTCATGTAGATGTTTTGAAGTCAAAACAAAGAGCAAAGTACATCACCAATATCATGTCAAGTATATCAGAATTTTTTTGTAGTTTTTTCTGAAAGGGCTAAATTTAATGTGAACCCTGAGTTCCCTGACAAATCTGACAGGTGGCTTTTGGGTTATAGTGGGAGACAGATACAGTGAAAAAGGGCTGACAGTTGACTGACTGGTTTGACTCCAGTCTTGTTTCTGCCACTTCCTAGCTGTTTTACCTTGTACAACTTACTTAACTTCTCCTGACTCAGTTTCCTCAACTGTAAAATGGAGGCAATCACAAGGTTGTGGTGAGGGTGAAGTGAGGAGTCCATGAAATACCTGCAGGGTGCCCGACAAACAGGAAGAACCCAATTCAAGGCTTGCCATTACAGTTAGTTTTGGACAAGTGGCAGACAAGGGTGCCTTTTGTTCATTTGCTCATGCGTCACTTGACCACCAGAAACAACTGCTGGTTTCAATCGTCTTGCCAGAATGAAATAACGACTTCCTTTGGGTCCTCTTCGGCTGTCTGCAGAGCAAAGAAGGGCACAGGCCAGAGCAGAGGTGTGCCACTCACCCCTGCCCAGTCGCTGGAGCCTTCCCAGACAAACATCTTGATAAAGAGTCAAAAGCAGAGAGTGTTAGGCCAAAATTACTCAAATAATTGCTTTCTTGCTGTCACCTTAAAAGGCAAATTCACCTGTTATTCTAAAATGTGTTTATTTGGGAATAGCCAAAAGAACAGCAATTCAGGCTATCCATACTATGGCAAACCCTAGGCAAATTCAGAAAACAAACCAGGGGGGCTGCTTTCACAGAGAAAATGGGGGGAGGGGCTGTTCTAAAGGGAAGTCTATTGGGGGAGAGTGACAGTTCAGGGCAGCAACGGCTTCTCATTGGCGGAACTGTGGCGTTTCTGATTGGCTGAGCTGTGGCATTTCTGATTGGCTGACATGTGGAGTTTCTGATTGGCTGAGCTGTGCAGTTTCTCATTGGTTGAGCTGCAGTGTTTCTCATTGGCTGAGTTGCGGTTTCTCATTGGCTGAGCTGTGCTTTCTCATTTGCTGAGTTGCGATGTTTCTGATTGGCTGGGCTGTTGGCTGGTGGGAGAGAAGTCTTCCTTCAGGAGTAAAGTAGTTGCACTTCCTGTGCCGATGCCAGTGTGAACAACACACGCACTACAGTTGACTTAGTGCACGGCAGGACAGCATGAGGAGCCCACGGAAAGGGATGGGAGAACCTGGGCAACCGCCTCCCTCAACTTGGGCAGGGCTCTTCCCCCTCCGGGCCTCAATTTCTCCATTCATTAAAGCAACAGGGTTGTACTAAATACTTCCCCAAATCCCGAGCCTCATCCTGCCCCCAACTTAGAAAAGAAAACCTCATTTATTTCCTTCAACACCAAAGAAGGGGCCGCGTGGACCCAAAAACAGAACACTCGTGGGTTTCCAGGCGGCGGAAGGACCCACCACCCGGCGCAGCGTGGGCAAGGGAAGCTGGCCGCCCCGCGCATGCGCACGCCCCGCCCCGTCAGCTCGGGCCGCGTGCACGGCCGAGCCGGTGAGTGCCTGGTCTGCCGCGCCGCTGCTGGCGGGGTCGTGTCCTCCTCCGGGCGCCCGAGTGCGGGGGTGGCGGGGCAGTGGCGGGGCAGCGGCGGGGGCGGGCCGCACAGCCGGCGTGGGGATGCCGGCCCGAGGCCGGGGCGCACAGTCTGGGCCCCGGGGCAGCCGCGTGCGCGGCCTGGGCCCGCGGGAGAGCGCCCGGGCGCGGCGGGAGGGAGGCGGCCGTCCAGACGGGGCCCCGGCTCGCGTCAGCCCCCGGGTCGGCACAGGCTTCCGGAGGGCGCCGGCGGCGGGGTCCAGCGGGCCGGTGGGCGCAGGCGGCCCGCGTGTTTTCGGCCCGGGCCCCGAGATCGCTGGGCGCCGGGCCGACCCCGCCCTCCTACGAGAGGAGGAGCCGGGTCACCGGCCGCCGCTGCACGCTGGTCGCCTCCCTGGCCCTTCTCTGGGACCTGACGGTCACCAAAGTCCTCACTGACGAGGGACAAGCCACTTCTCCCTAAGACAGAACCGGAAAGGGGACTGCCCATCTCCGCGTGGGCCAGCCGAGAGCCCCTGCCCGCTGCGGGCCGGCAGGACAGTCCCGGGCGCCCGGCACCCGCCTGGGCGGTGGTTGAGGGCTGGGCGCGCTGAGAGGTGGCCGTGGGCCCCGGGAGTGACCCGAAGCTCGGGTGGAAAACTGCTCACGCGGGTTCCCGGGCCGGCTGCCGGAGGTGCCTGTTCACGGGCCCCGCTGGACCAGGGGCAGCACGGGGCGCTGTTAGGCAGGCGGGCTGCACCCCACCGGGTCTGGATGCCCGGGCGCTGGGTCACAGCTTAGTGATGTTGGTATTTTGTCTTATTCTAGTTAAAAAGCTCTAGCTTTTGAAAGACTCGGGATCGAACTATCTTTAACCTTCACTTTTCAGCTCCTAATTCGTTTTTGGGGTTTTTTAAATGGCAGGTTTCTGATAATGTGGCAATTTTTATGAATAAGCTGAGATTTGGAAGTGAGGTTCAGGGGGTGGAGGAAGCTTGGGAGCGGGCACTTCTTGCTCCAGCCACCAGGTGACACCGCTGGCCCAGGTGCCCTCCTTGGGCGGGCATGGTGCTCTGGTGAGGAGCACCTGGCTGGGGGCGGCTCTTGGTAGTTCTTGAGTCAAGTGCTTGCAGCTCAGAGAACAGCTCATTAGATTTGGGATGCCACACTGATTGAAGCCAAGTTAAAGATTTTTGACTTTGCTGTATCGCTGGCCATAGGCTGAAACTGTGCCTAGGATCTGCTGAGATAAGTTGAATTGATTAATTTGGGATAATCATATCTTCTAGTAAATAATGAATTTAGTGACACAGTGCTTGTGTACAAGAAAGACATGCTTTCCTTTAGATGAATATATAATCTGAGTGGTGTTTGAGGCTGAGTTGTATCTTGGAAGAAATGGTGTTGGTTTAAAACTGTATGATATCCTGGAGAAATGGCAGTGACCACGTAGTGTTCTCACGGAGGCGCATGAGTCATGCAAGCTGCGTGTGCACGATGCACTAACACCAACACTGGCACTCCTGGTAGACTTAACCACGTGTGTTTTGTTCTCTTGTAGGTTTGCATTTCCTCCCTGCTTTGTCTTGAAGACAGCACGATGCCAAAGAAAGCGAAGCCTGCAGAGAATGGGAAGGAAGAGGGGCCTGCCCCCTGTAAGCGGGTGAAAGTGGAGGCAGCTGGCGGGCCTTCCGCTTTAAACTTTGACAGCCCCAGTGGGCTCTTTGAAAGTTTAATCTCACCCATCAAGACAGAGACTTTTTTTAAGGAATTCTGGGAGCAGAAGCCCCTTCTTATTCAGAGAGATGACCCTGCACTGGCCACATATTACCAGTCCCTGTTCAGGCTGTCAGATCTGAAGAGTCTGTGCAGCCGGGGTATGTACTATGGAAGAGACATAAATGTCTGCCGGTGTGTCAATGGGAAGAAGAAGGTCTTAAATAAAGATGGCAAAGTGCACTTTCTTCAGCTGAGAAAAGATTTTGATCAGAAAAGGGCAACAATTCAGTTTCACCAACCTCAGAGATTTAAGGTAACAGGTCCTCCCCATTGAGAATCCTCATATGGATTAAACTGCTAACGTTGGGCCACAGATCAGCGCAGGGATGAACTTGTGGTTTGTTGCTGCTTAGCCTCCTGCTAGCTTGAAGAGGTAGCACCTGTTTGCTCTTTTTGTATGTTATCTTTTGGCTAAACTGTTAGAATCTGCAACGTCTCAGGGTGGTTACGCATCCTGAGCTGCAAAAACTAAATTATATTGCCAGTTTATTAAACTGACATCACACCTCCGGGAACATGTTCTGTGGGCTGGTTTATGTTTTGACGTATGGTAGACATTTCTATTTGTTTTGCCCTGTCAATATAACTTCAGGCATGATAGCCTCAAGGTGATCATTTTCTTCTTGAAGTTGCCTCCTTTTACTGCCTACATCTACCTAAGTAGAGGCTTCAGTGCCATGACTGGATCACATACCAGATGCATCTTCAAGACAGAGACTTCACCCTTACTAACAGCCACCCAGGTGGCATTGAGGGGCAGGGTCCTGGCACTGCTCCTGGGGAGGCAGTCATAGGTGGAGGATAGCTTTGATTTGCAAGCCTAGAAGACTGGCTAAGTTTTTATTTATTCCACATCAGTGATTGATGTTTGAAAATTAATTTGCCTCCTCTGTGCTCAGTTTCTGCTTTATAAAATACAGGTGTAGAATGAGCTAACCTGCTTTTGTAGAGGTTTGAGATCTTTACATGATAGGTGGCCCAGAACAGTTGAGGGCCTGTTCTGAGTTTCAGATAAAGTTTTATCCCCCATTCAGAAATCCCCTTCTGTGACCCATGGCTGAATCAAAATGGCAGCCTGGAGAAGGAGAGCGGTTCATGAGGTTCCAGATCGAGGGGAGTGGGTTCTGGCTGTGTGATGCCTCCTGGGACCTCGTCATCGCTCACCAGTAGTGTTTCCCATGACTGAACTCAAAAGGTGCTTTGTTAGATCCCATTAGGCCTCACCTGGTGAATGCCTTTCTCTTTCTTGTCTGAAGGCCGCTGAACCTATTTGTACTCTCGAGAAAGTGTAAGTACTCTTAGATTTTTCAGTACAAGTCCTCATTCCAGAGTATCCATCTCAGGCAATCAGAAGCAATTGAAATGTCCCTGGAATGCCAGCCTTTGGGCCCAAGCACCCAAAAGGACTTTAGAAATCACTTGCCAGACCAAGTCATGATTTGAATTCAGAAAACGTGGACGCCGTGGTGCTTCTCTCTGAGCTAGTCCTTGACTCTTTACTTGGCTAGAAGATGCACTTTTGTAAAACGTGGTTTTTAGACACCTAAGAACTGTGACCATAGAAGATCAGTGAAGTTGACTATATGTAATTTGGTCACAGACCATCAGAAAGTTATTATTTGCCGTACGTGTGGTGTCCTCTGGTTGTCATTTCTGTACTTTAGAATTGTCTTGGGTTTTTCTCTGTTCATCTACTTAAGCCCTGCACATTCCTGTTCCCCAATTCCAGGTGGCCAAGAATGTGTTTCCTTTGCCCTGTTGATGCAGCTCTTGGGCCGTGTTTATTTTTTTTTTATTTTTTTATTTTTTAAAGATTTTATTTTTTCCTTTTTCTCCCCAAAGCCCCCCGGTACATAGTTGTGTATTCTTCGTTGTGGGTTCCTCTAGTTGTGGCATGTGGGACGCTGCCTCAGCGTGGTCTGACGAGCAGTGCCATGTCTGCGCCCAGGATTCGAACCGATGAAACACTGGGCCGCCTGCAGCAGAGCGCGCGAACTTAACCACTCGGCCACGGGGCCAGCCCCTTGGGCCGTGTTTATTAAAGCAGGAAGGACGAGCTTCTCAGTGTAGGCTCAGCCCCCAGCCAGACCAGGATGCACTGTGCTCTTTCCACCTCCAGTACTTGTGAGACCTATAAGCTGTAGGAGCTCACCTCTTACACTAGCAGCTGGGTTCTAAATATTGTACTACGAGATTTAGTGTGTGTCTGACGTTAATAATGCCAGGTTAGAAGAAGCCTAGGGGCAGTTCACCACTGGCCAGGTTGAGAGACCATCAAAGAACAGTTAGCCCTTTGTTCATCGGGTCTTAGAATGTGCACAGCTTATTGGTCTAGTTAGTCTGGAAATGAGTAGGGAGGTAACCAGAGATCCATAAGTTGTTCCCCACCTGCTTTGGGAATGCATGTATCAAAAGTCTGGATGCGTTTACCAAATTCTTACACACGTGTGCACTCCTGAACCTTCCAACAGACATTTGAAGTAGGGCGGTCACTGCGGTCTCCATTGTACAGGTGAAAGACGAGTTCCCAGGTGTGACTTTCCCATAGCTACTAAGTAAGGACTTCTGACCCCAAACTTAAGGCATTTTCTACCATGATTCTAAAGATGTTAAGTGAAATGTAGGGCTTTGGCCTGTTTTTGCCTTCCTTTAGGCGTACACGTGGGCTTCTGCTCTTAGCCTTGGCATCAGGTCTGATTCTCTGGGGAGGTCAGTGGAGGGAGGAGGTCGTACCCAGCCAGGAGAGGCTTCTACCTTCCCTGTTTCGTTGTTCTGGGGTCTTCCTGGGCATCTCCAGACGTCATTGGGAGTCAGGAGTTAGAGGAGAAGACAGGTTTTGGGAACCTTGTTTATGCCTAAGTCGGTATTGTGGAGCAGTAATACTTGATACTGCTTTGCGGTTTAAATAGGATTTGAGAGCAGCTTTGTGCTGTTCCCTGCAGCCTTAGGGTGGGAGCCTTCATTTTACAAATAAAGAAGTTGAAGTCACCTAGCTTATAACTACAACTTGGGCTGAGGTGGTGTGACTCCACATCTCTTTCTGGTGGGCCACGCTCGGCAGATTGCAAAGCTAAAGGTCCAGGAGAAATGGAAAAATTGTATAATTGATAGGGTTTTCGGTAACCTTTAAGAAGAAAAGAGACATAAACTCATCAATTACAGACCCAGATGCTTGAGTTGGGAGCCATAAAGTCACCCTTAGGGCCCTGAGACGCCTCTCAGGCCATCGGAGAGAGAGAGCAGCCCTGGTTTGCGGCGGCTCCAATGACTGTGCCCGTAAATGTAATCACATCCGGGTCCTGCTGGCCCCTCCCGGCGTTCGTTAGCTGCTGGGGAGGTCTGCTACCTCACTGAGCTGCCGGGCATTGCCGTCTCCTTCCCGTGTAAGGACCAGCCCGCCAACCCTGAGTGGAGTGGCCCGGTGCTGTATGTGAAGATGTCTCCTAAAGCTTCTTTCATGCTGACCCAGTTCATCATGACCCAGTTCACTGCTGCATCCCGGTGTCTGGCGCGTAAGAGCTGTGTGATGATTTTTCCCACTGGGTGTTTTTAATACTGTAGATTTTTTTTAATATTCAGTGGTAGGATTGACTCGCAAGTTGTGGTCATTGGTTTACTCAGCAAATGTCTTAAATGTTTTAGTGTCTTCCATGTGCCAGGCACTATCCATTCACGTCCTTGAAACTTGGGGCTCTCCACTGTCCTTTGTAGGTGACTTGTCTTTTCTTTAATCTCTTAGTGAGGCAACATAGAGTCGTGGTTAAAGGTTTGGACTCCAGAGCCAGGCTGCATGGATTTTGAATCCTGGCTCCATCATTTATCAGCTATGTGTCCTTGTGCCTCAGTTTCCTCATCTGTAGACTGGATGTCACACTAGCACTCACCTTCTGAGTCAGGGTTGCCAAGTGGGTCGTATAACTGGTGTCCTTTTAGCACTTAGAAACAGTGCTGGGCACATAGGAAGTGCTGAGGTCCATCTGCCCTAATGCTTCCTCCCCTCTTCTCACCTGCCCTGGGGAAAATCAGGTTTCTTTGTTTCTTGCAGAAAAATGTGGCTCCTTTCTGGGCCCCTCCGTCTGACTTAGGCCGTGAAGAGCCGTTAGTGACTGGAGGGAGCATGGCTCTGCCCTCGTCCTCCCCCCCTGTCTGTACCCTCTTAGCTCATCACTGCTCCCGTTGAATACCAGTCTTGTGCAGTCAGTTCCCAGACGCAGATCTCTAGCCCTTCCGTCTTGCCAGAACTTCAGACTGTAAAACATGTCCACATGGGGTCTTCGCAGCTCAAACCTAACATTTCTAATGTGGAACTTTTCTTTTTTACCCCTGAAAACTTGTCTTCCAGCACGTCTTGCCCGTTTCAGTAGGTGGAACCGGGAGCTGGCTGACTGCGTCAGGAGAACCCCAGGAGTGTTCTCCCCCTTCCCATCGGCCCCGTAGTGTTCACTCCTGGCAGGGCCTGTCAGTGCTGCGTCCAGAGGCCCCTCCGCCAGGTCTCTCCTCTCTCCCTCCTCCACTGCCCGGGTCATCGCTCACCTGGCCTCAGGAGCGTCCCCCTGATCCTTCTCGCTTTTCTGCCATCCATTCTCCGCGTAGGAGCCAGAGTGTCCCGGTCCTGCCGGGAGCCCCCAAGACTCCGTGTTGCCTGCCTTGCAGGCTTTCTTTTGTCGGCTCCTGTCTGTTCCGGGGTGCTGCGCGTTAGAGGGAAGGTTGCTGAGGGCAGAGGTGTGGACTCTTCACTGCTGCGTCCCGGTGTCTGGCGCGTAAGAGCTGTGTGATGATGACTTGCTAAGCGGTCGAGCACGTGTTCCTCCGCTTATTTGCGATATTTCTTTCTTCTTCCCCCCACCTTCGTTTTTTGTCTTTTAAAGGATGAGCTTTGGAGGATCCAGGAGAAGCTGGAATGCTACTTCGGCTCCTTGGTCGGCTCGAATGTGTACATCACGCCTGCGGGATCCCAGGGCCTGCCGCCCCATTATGATGATGTGGAGGTGAGAGGGGGGTGGCTGCGAGCCCGGGTCGGATCGCTTTCGGGGCTCGGTTCCGCGCTCGGCCGGGTCTCCGTCCGCGCTGCCTGTGCCCTCTCTGGGGATCTCAACCTCGCCCGAATGTTGGGCCAAACTCAAGCCCACCAAACTGGTTTCTTCTCCTCGAAAGGGAGGGCGTGTCACCAACATTACAAATGCACAGAGCTGCACATTCCTGTGAAGCAGGCCTTTGTTGAGTTTATCTGCAGAAAAGTGCGATTGGCTTTTGCTTTAATTTCACAGCGTATGGTCTTTAATAAGGTCAGTAATCCTTACGTCTGCTTTCATTCTGTTCTTTTCCTGGAGCTGCCAAAAATAGCTATCTTTTTCCATTTGTGAAACTCGGGGCAGCTTGATGAAGGCCGTGGTTTCACTGAAGCGCTGGGGCCCTCTCAGGTGTTGGGCTCACCCTTGAGTGGCTGCCAGAGTCGGCTCTGTTCCTTACGTATTTCCTAGTTTTATTCTTGTACTAATTCAGGGTGTAAACACAAAGTTATTAGTAAAAAGCTCGCTTTTCACCCTTGGAGAGCAGTGTGATATATATTTTCCAAAAGTTTTTTTTTTTTTAGTATATATTTTTAACAGAGTTTTCAAATATCTTTGGCTGAATGAAGAATAAAAATCTTGAAGTTTTCCCAGCCGCCAAGGGTTACCTGCAGGTGTTGGGCCTTCAGTAGTGTCTGAGCCTGGCTCATCCTCAGGTGGCGGGCTGTGAGCGGGGACGGGGCCGTGAGGAGGGAGACGGTGGGATGCGAAGAACGCCCGAGGCTTGAGGACGGCGGGAGCAGCGACTCCCTCCCGGTGTCAGGTCACGGGGCCTGTCCTCAAACAGGAAACCGGTGGCGGCATTCGTTCCGTGCGGAGTGCAGCGCGCACTCGGTGCCCCTGGCGGGCGGGGGTGGGAGGCCGGCCGCTGACTCGCCCGGCCGCGGCCCTAGGTTCTCATCCTGCAGCTGGAGGGCGAGAAGCGCTGGCGCCTCTACCGCCCGACCGTGCCCCTGGCTCGCGAGTACGGCGTGGAGGCCGAGGACAGCATCGGGAGCCCGGCGCGCGAGTTCACCTTGAAGGTACTGGGCTTCCGCGTGCGCGCCGCTCCTGGAGCGAGCTGCTTGAGGTTGCTGTTTGTGCGGTGTGTGTGGTCCCCATGGGAACGTGGCCGAGACTGCGGTGGCTCTCCTTCCCGTCCGCCAGCACACGCAACTTCTGAAGGAGGCTTGGTGTTTGTACCTAGAGAAATGAGCCGAGGGAGAATTAAGTTCCTTTTTCAAATAAGCTGTCTCCAAAGATAATCACAGTTCGTCAGGATCGAGTTAGGAATTCAGTGCCCACCGACTTCTCTACAGAAGCAGTGGAAGGTGTGGCCTCGGGCAGCTTTGCCCTGTCTGGGACGAGGGTCAGCCCTGGGCTGTAGGCTGCTCAGGCAGAGCACAGGCAGGGACCTCCTTTCATCCTAAAAATAATCTGTGAGGTTTGGAGCTGTTGTCTCCATTTTACAGATAAAGAAACTGAGGCTTCGGGGTGTTAACTCACAGCCAGTAAGTGGCAGCGTCTGTGTGACTTGGAGCTTCCAAGAAGCTCCGTGGAGGGCAGAGGCGGAGGGAACAGGGTTCCCAGGCACAGGATGTCATCCTTGACCTTGGGTCGGGGCGGGTGGCTTCAGGGGTATCTGGTCTCAGGCTGTGGATAGGACAGTGACTTCAGGTGCTGCACCCTCTGCAGGATTGAGCTTCACAGTGACAGGCCCCCAGGCACAGTGAAGCTGGACCAGTGGGATGGCCTGGGAGCCCAGCAGGCAGCTTGGCCCTTGAATCACAAAGGAGAGGTTTCCAAAATGGAGAACTGAAACTCCATATACAGCACTGAGAAGACATCCTAACTCCCTCCTCTTTTCTTTTTCTTCTTTTAGCCGGGTGATTTCCTGTACTTTCCCAGAGGGACCATTCATCAAGCTGACACTCCTCCAGGCCTGGCCCACTCTACTCACTTGACCATCAGCACCTACCAGAACAAGTAAACACTGCCTCCCAGCCTAGTGTCCTGGGACAGCTCTGAGTTCTGGCCCATAGCAGCCACGTTCAGAAGGGACATGAGGCAGTTGGCACTTCTCTCCCCCTTATCCACCCCGGGAGCCTCTGGCTCCCTTGCTGATGTCATAGTCCTTTAGGGTCCTGTCCATGCCATTGGTCCATCTGGGCTTCCTCCTGGGAGCACCATGAATCGATATAGAAAACCAGGAGGTGCCCAAATAAAGGGACCCATAGTCTGGGAAGACAGAGCTGTAGCTGTGGGTATGGCAGTGTGTTGGTGAGGCCAGGCTGGACTCATAGTCTCTCTCTTTTTAAAATAATTTGTATTGTGGTAAAATAATTATAGCACAGAAAATGCCATTTTAACCTTTTTTGTTTGTTTATTTTTTGAGGAAGATTGGCCCTGAACTAACATCTGCTGCCAATCCTCCTCTTTTTGCTGAGGAAGATTGGCCCTAAGCCAACATCCGTGCCCATCTTCCTCTACTTTATGTGGGACGCCTGCCACAGCATGGCTTGATGAGCAGTGTGTAGGTCCGCATCTAGGATCTGAATCAGCAAACCCTGGGCCACCGAAGCAGGATGTAAGAACTTAACCACTGCGCCACCGGGCTAGCACCTTAACCATTTTTAAGTGTACACTTCAGTGACATAAGTTACATTCACACTGTTGTGTAGCTGTCACCACTGTCTGTTTCCAAAACATCTTCATTGCTCCAAACAGAAACTGTCCGTTGAAATCTCTGGGTCTCTTAAGGTTACCACTTTTCACAGCTCATGAAGTTAAAGGAGGAAAGGCCCTCTGGGATGGTCAGACTTAGAAGCACACGCGCTGAAAACAGTTCCAGTTACAACCGTGTTCCTTTCTGGCGAGCGCCTCATCACATGACAGGGCCTGGGCCGCAGCACCTTGTCAGTGGTTTATCATCCAAACCCATTAAAAGATCCCCGTCGTTAATTAGTGTGTTCAGCGTGCGGGCGCTGGGAATGCAGGCGCTGTGCTGAAGGGGCTCTGAGAGCACTTACTCCCTGGCGGAGGTGGTAGCAGGGAGACAGGCTTGTACACAGTACCAGAGTGTGACCATCCGAGCGCAGGTCTGCCGATGAGACTCTTGAATGGAGGGATGCCCGTAGCCAGGCTGGGGCTGAGGGAGGGCTTCAGGAAGGACTTGACACCCACGCTGAGCGGGACTCAGAGGATGAGTAAGGAGAGGAGCGTCAGCAGGTCAGAGGAGGAGAGGACATTTCCAGGCCCGAGGGACAGCGAGTCCCCTGCTTCAAAGCCCTAAGTTGCAAAACGAGTTAGTAAGCATACCTCTGCTTCCTCCTCTGGCTTTGCAGTGTGAAATTAACCCTGTGTGTAAGAGACTGGAGGAACCAGCTGGAGCCTGGCCTGAAGTTAGGGCTGTCTTTGCCCACAAGTAGAAGGCCAAAGCTTGTATTAAGATTCCTTTATGAAAAAGGCCCTGTCGCTGCGTTCAGGTTCCTTGCACAGCAAGGAACAGGTCACTGAGGCCAGCTCCAGAAGAGCAGGGGCATCGAGGGAGTGGGCCATAGAAGGGTGGCCGCAGGGAGGCTGGAGCCAGGAGTTCAGTGTACAAGCAGCTCTGGGCCTTGGCAGCCACATCGTGCCCCCATGAACATCCATGTGTCTTCTGGTCCTGCCATCAACATTACTCAGCTGCTGTCTTTCCCTAATTCTCTGTCTTCCGTTTCTCTTATTGCCGCCACTGGTTTTCCAGTAATTGGTTGTCGCTCCCTTGTTTTCCTTCCTGAGCTTCTGTCTACGCACAGCATTGCCTCATCATACGCTGCCATCACTTCTCTGACCTCCCTCTAGTTCCTTGAGTCTATTAGCTTTGGCTTCCACTAAGTGCCTGACTCACTATTTTACAGTCCCAAGAATGAAGTTCTGGTAGGCTGCGCTGGGTCCCCCTATCCCTTCTCCAGTCAGCTGGGGCTGGGGAAGAGCTCTCTAGGTTCTGGAAGCTGCCTGCCTAGGACTGTGGGTGGGCACCATGATTGATGTGTTAAGGCTGGACTGTGACCTGTGCCCTTGTCGGTGGTGCTGGAGCTAGAATGGGAAAAATGTAACTTAAGGACCATTGCTCCCCAGAGATGTCTCTGTGCTTTGGTCCTGATGCTCCCTAAGGTCCAGTGGCAGGTGAGGATTTGGGACCTTTTCCTAATACCTCTCAAGGGTAGCATTATTAGAACATTTGGGGCCAGCTGTGTGGGACAGTAGCAGGTTGCTTTGGCTGCTTTACCAAATTGAACTCCTCAAGAGGTGGTATTCCCAAATTTTGGAAAGGGCCAAGATCCATTCCAACTCTTAGAGCACAGAGCTCTGTTTCACTGCGATTGAATTCCTCCACGAGCTATTGCTGTAGACTTCCACCTATGACCCTGCAAAGGAAGAGCAGGCTTATTGTATGCTGTTGAAAGAGCTGCGTGTGTCTCCAGGTTGAAGTTCAATCAAAGATGGGAGGTTGGGGGGCCGGCCCATGGCATAGTGGTTAAGTTTGGCACACTCCACTTCAGCGGCCCGGGTTTGTGGGTTCAGATCCCTGGTGAGGACCTACATCACTCGTCAGCCATGCTGTGGCAGTGACCTACATATAAAGCAGAGAAAGATGGGCACAGATGTTAGCTCAGGGCTAATCATCCTCAGCAAAGAAAAAAAAAGAAAGATGTGAGATTGGGTGTAACATTAAGTCGCAAACCAGTGAGGCCACCAAGTAGTTGTGGGTGTCTTCAGGAGAGTCTGTGGCTTTTGTCCTCCTTTGCCACTTTCCGCGCAGGAAGCATGAAAGTGTTAATTTTGCTTACTGGGTGAGAAGCCAAAGGCCCGCTGACTCTCTGTTTTGTACATAGTTGGAAATTTGAAGTCTGCTGGTGACACAGGAAAATTTTAGATAGGTGAGAAGTGTTTTAAGAGGGCAGTTATATTGGCACACCTTTAGGAGCGAGCTGGTTCTAAATGCCCCAGAGAAAGCAAAGGTCACTGAACACTGATGCTCATTCCTGGAGGTTATTTTTGGCCACTGGCTTCTACCTTCTACTCCAGTAAAACCATTGCTCGAGTTTAACGAGTTACAAAATCAATTGTTTTAAAATTGTTGATGTTGGATGTTTCACTGCAGAACACTGCTCTCTTTTATAAGGAAAATACAAAGGAAAATGTGAGGTTTAACTGTTCAGATAATTACACAGTTCAGGGATCTTGCTGTTACCCTAAATGTATTGCTTTTGGTTTTTTTGCACATAAAATTTTTTTTAGATTGTTAAAATTTCCTACAAAGCTTTCTTCATAGACACTTGTCTCTGCTACAGTTGGAAACAAAAGAAACAATTGGTTCCTTGAACTTCCTACTTTGTCAGAGTATATGGTTAATTCTCTGATGTCTTTAAATTTAAGAGAAGTCGTGGATAATGCCTGGCTTCCACCTTTAACATTCCACGTGAGCGTCTGGGAGTGGGGAGGGAGGGCAGCAGTGTGATTGACGGAGGTCTTAAGTTTTTATGCTGAGTACTGTCAAATTAATTGAACTCAGAATGCCTAGATGGGGGAGTTGGAACGCAATTTGTGGCTTCTGGCTTTACTAGTAATCAGTATTTTATGTATATGTCATATGTGTTCACTGTGTGTTTTTCTTGGTGTGTGTTTCAGCTCGTGGGGAGATTTCCTTTTGGACACCATTTCAGGGCTTGTGTTTGATACTGCGAAGGAAGATCTGGAGTTACGGGCTGGTCTACCCCGGCAGCTGCTCCTGGTGAGGAGAGGAGGCGGGTGGGAGAGGAGCACTGGCCACAGGCCAGGCCAGCATGGATCCCAGGTCCTTCTTCCCACAGGAGCCAGGCTTGACTCCTCCAGAATGGAGTGCTGCACGTTATGCACAACCCAAAGAATGAGGGTGTTGTGCAGACAGTCCGCTTTCTGTATTTCACAGTGGCAGTAGCAGGCACTGTGGGAATGTTGGCTGAATAAATGGCAGAATGACTGAAGAATGTGGCTTGGAGAATGGTAGATTCAGCACCCACGAGATTCCTAGTTAGGAGAGACCACTGGAGATCCTGGCCTTGGTGTATTCCCTGGCTTTCTTGTCTGTCCTGGTTTTATGTTTGAAACAGCAGCACTGTTTGGCTAGTTTTGAGAACATGAGTGAATTAGTGCTGAGTTGAGCACAGGTTATTTTCACTGTCTGAAGCAGCCCTCCCTAGGACAGTGGCTTGCTTCCCAAAAGGCAGAGCTGAGACTGCATTATATTCCCAAGGATCCCTCTTTCTAGGCAAAGTCCTGATAGTTGATCTTTCTGGCAAACAATAGGCAGCTTAAGGTGAACAGTGGTTACAAGGAAATAATGGGATATTGTTCTTATGGGCCCCGGTTGTGTGTGTTTGTGTCCCCGTGTGTCTATACTGGGTAGTTGTGCTCAGCATACTGCTCTGGAGCCTGGAAGCTAGGCGGTAATCTGCTGGAGTCTGGGCTGGGCCTCACTTCTGTGTTTCTAGCAGGTGGAAACCACAGCTGTTGCAAGAAGAAGAGTAAGTGGCTTTCTGAGGATGCTTGCAGACAAGCTGGAGGGCACCAAAGAGCTGCTTTCAGCAGACATGAAGAAGGATTTCATTATGAACAGACTCCCACCTTACTGTGTGGGAGACGGAGCAGAGCTGTCAACGCCAGGTGGAGCTTGCTGTTTTCTTCTGGCTGGTTAGGGGCTAGCATGGGATATGTTGAGGCCTGCCTGGGTGGGCTCCTCTTTGAGCAGATGGAAAGTATGAAGCATTTTAGAAGGAACGTGGACCTAGATCTATCTTTAGTGTGTTATGGTTGGACAAGACATGTGAATTATAGCGGTTCTATGATCGAGTCCCTGTCAGTTTCATAGTAGGAGGAGGAAGGAAATGAGGCTGGAATTAGAACTGGAGAAGCAGCAGCAGTCACTGCGATTAGCCAGGATGGGGGCTATTTGGTCACTTTTGTGGTTTGGACGGTGTTCGTACTTCTGCCCGAGTGCTGACATGATTATGGAGTGATCTTGGTTTTGTCTTCATCTCCCACAGTCATAGTGGCTCTGTTGGATGCTGGTGTTCTGTGAAACTGTCTGTTCAACAGGAGAACAGAGTGAGATGTAGCTCTGAGTGTCAGGCCAGCGCTTGGGCAGAAATTCTCTTTCTCAGTAGAGTAGAATGAGAGTATGATTTTTACTAACTTTCATAAAAGCCTTATTGAGAACCACTGAAACAGACAATCTGTAAGTTCCCTTCTAACATTGATTCTATTTACATTTTTGTTATAATCTTTGGAGGAAATTTAGAATTTGTTTTTGATTGCATCTATTCAAAATAGCAAATGTTTTACCAGCACATATTCTAGTCTTTAGCAGAACAGAGTTTTCTGAGTATCAGCTTGTGGCCCAGAATATTTTATCTAAAGTTTTCCTCGTCATAACCATTGTAGTCAACAAAGCTATGATCCCTCAAGACTTTTGCCTCAACCAGGTGACCCTGTAAGGCTAGTTTGGTTTTAGTGGCTGCTTTTTCACTAAGAGGAATCCAGTTTTGGAAAGTTTTTTTTTTCTGTGAACTTTATTAGGTGGCTTTTACATGACACTATGCTTGACCTACATAGACTGAATAATTTGCCACGGTCATGCAACTAGTAATTGGTGGGATGGTGCACTTTGGACTCAGGTGGCCCTTCTGGAGGCCACGTGTAGAGCAAGAGGCGAGAGAGGTAGAGACCTGAGAAGTGGGAGTTCTGTCTGTGCTGTGACAGCTACTGCACTTCAATGGGATTGTTTCTGTCCGTTGAATGGACCTCTCAACTTCTGTTGTTCATCTCATTGTGAGTCTGTCTTCACTGTAAGAATGAGCTCCAGGAGCAGGTAAACTATAATCTCTCTCTGACTGGGGGGGTAAGCGAGTACTTGCAGAGCCTGCCCCAGGCTTGGGTTCACCTGCAAACCGTTAGTAAACGTGTTTCTTGAATAGCTCCTCCTGCAAGCAGATTGAGCCTGCTGGCTTCCTCCTCTGAAGGCTGGTGCTCTGGGTTTTCCAGGTGGACAGCTACCGAGGTTGGACAGCACAGTGAGACTGCAGTTTAAAGACCACATCGTCCTCACTCTGGGGCCAGATCAGGATCGCTCGGTGAGTATCCAGAGGGGAAGAGGCTTCCTCTTTCCTCTGGGCATTTCCATCGCAGGCCCAGGTCATCCCACTGACAGATGGCCCCCGCTTCTCCTCTGGGAATTCATCTGTTCTCATGGCATAATGCCATCACCTTAGGTCAGATGATGCCCAAATCTCACTCTTCTTGTTGGGCATTTGAGGTCTTGCTCTCATCCCCACAGAACCCTCCTCTGTTCCCCTCATTAGTGATTGACATCTGTCTGCTTCCCTCCTCATTCAGGCCACATTGCTTTTGCTGGGACCACTGCAGACACTGCTCATGTGCCTCCCTCTCAGTCCCTCTCCCATTCTCTTCACTGTGCACATCTATCATTACATATGGGTTTGTCGATATTTCTTAAAAAAATCTCTATCCTGTAGATCATGAAGAGGAAAATCTATATTCCATAACCTTGCCACCTAGTGCAGCTGTTCCTAAAACTGGTCAAACTGGCTAACGGATCCTAGCATCACCTGGAAAATTTTTAGGAGTTATAAGTTCCTGGGCTTCTTGTGGTCTGGGTTGGAGCCTCTGCATTTATTATTGAAAGTTCCTTATATAATCCTAAGGACCTTGGGAACCATCCCATGCCTTATCGCTTCACCCTGTTCCTCCTAATCATCTTTCTCGAGTGGTGCCCCATGAATGATCTTGGGGGGGAGGGTGATGAGATTGGGAGACCTAGATGTCTCCATATCCAGATTATTCCAGCCATCAGGGTCAGACCTGGAGAGGACTGGTTCATAATAATCGATAAAACCTCAAAGTATGTACTCCCACATCCCCATTAAAAACAAATCCTGCTTATTCTGATAAGCGATCCATTGGAGACATTCTATGTCAGACCAGGGTGTTTGACACTTATCTAAGCACTGACAAGGAATGACTGAAGATTCTGGTAGAGATGGTAACTGCACTGTGTAGGATGGAGAGCAAAGCGAAGTAGAGACTGGGAGGCTGCTGTAATTGGAATGGAAGTTTTAATAAATCACAGAGCAGGTCTTTCCCACAAGTTAATATTTTACTCCATGGTATTCATAAATTGTCAATTTATGTATACCTAGGATTGTCACATTTTTTTGATGCAAAAAAGTGCAGGCATGATGAAATGAAGAAACTTGAGTGTTTCATTGATATGTTAATATATAAATGGTTCTTTTTTCATTAAATCAAGTTTCTGAAGATGCTCTACCAGGTACACTCTATTTAATTTAAAAAAAGTCTTACGTACCTATTTACTTCACACAAATAGTAATCTGTGAGGACTACAGTGACATGTATATACATTATATCTCGGGGATGTGTGTATATATACACATACATATATATCATGACTTTTTGCCAAAAGGATTCTTTACAGTTTAATAAATTTCACGTAAGCATTGAGGTGTTAAGAGTTTTCTTAGTGTTGACCTGTTATTGGAATCTCTCCTAGTATTGAAGCACTCAATATTTTGTTTATGACTTAATGCTTTTTTTTTTTAAAGGATGAAACTCGAGAAAAGATGATTTACATCTATCATTCCTTAAAGAATAGGAGAGAGACGCACATGATGGGCAATGAGGAAACAGAGGTTTGTTCCAACTTAAATGTCTTTCCTGTGATTTGGTGGTGGCTGGGAACAATCAGTTACCTTTGATTTATGGGTAATGTGCTTTGTTATAACTGCAGTGTGGACATAACCTTTCACAAATCAAAGAGCCCTTGCATAGGGAGGATTAAATCAGACAGTTCTGTGATACAGATACATGTACCAGCTTTAAAAGATAGGAGCTGGGACCTGTAGGAAAGGTGTAATGTAACACATGGAAGCATTTCAAATGACTAATATTTCTTACTATACAAACCAGAATGCCTCCCGTGAAGTCTGAGTTTTCATATGGGAAGTGGCAAATGCTGGAAGTTATCTAATAGCTTCCCTGAGACAAATTTCAGACTTGTAAAGATCTCAAAAACAGTGATTTATTGAGAATCGTGCAAGTTTATATGAAAATGCCACGTAAGTGACAAAATGCTGCTTATGTTTGACTCAATAGTTTATCCTTTTTCAGTCTCACGGACTTCGCTTTCCTTTATCACATATGGATGCACTGAAGCAAATTTGGAACAGTACAGCTATTTCTGTCAAGGACCTGAAGCTTACTACAGATGAGGAAAAGGAGAGCCTGGCATTGTCCCTCTGGACAGAGTGTTTAATCCAGGTAGTCTAGCGCCTTCACAGAGTCAGGTGTCTGCTGTTTATGTGCACATGTGAAAAGAAAAGCTAGGTTGATGTGCTGGGGAGTCCTGTTGCTTTGAGTCAACACATTGGGTAGGAGGGACGGTTGTATACAACTTTCCTTACCTGTGTATCTGATAACATGACCTACCTGTTACAGGTGGTCAGTTGGCCATGTGTATTAACAGAGGCACATGGAGGAAAGAATGGCAAGTTACTAAGTGTCCCAGAAAGTGACAAAACCATACTTTAAGACAAGTTTATTTAATCCAGTCTGGTAGAAAAGGCACAATTCCAATAAATGTATCATTTAAATTTAAAGGTTGTTGTTACCTGGCTTTGTCTTTGTTCTTTGGAAGAAATAACTTTTTTAAAGAGCCTCATTGGCTCTAGAAAAATTTCAAACAATTAACACAAAGAAAAATAATTTTAACTTGGATTTTTACAATGAAAATATACATACCTTTGCGTATAGACAAACCCCCCACCCCCATTAAAATAAAGTTACCCCTATAAGTTTCATTAAATAATACTGCCACACCAGTGAGAGGCACTCACATCTATGGGCATAAGGGAGTTTACAGGTGCTGCTTGAAAGATGACAAAAAAGCCTGAGATTGAAGGGAAAAAAACTAATAATACTTACATGGAAAGACCAAGTCTCTATTAAAAATACTCAAAATAGTGGGTCTTTGAGTTTAAACAAGTCACTGTTATTTTAAATTCTAAAGTGCATATAGATATTTTAAAAAATATCAGTGGTGTATTTCATCTTTCTATATAAAAATAGAGTAGACATGTTGGGATGAAGGGAACAACAGTTGTTTCAATCTGAGTTTAAAACCAACTCAGGAGAGAAAAATGCTTATGAGTTGCATAGTTAAAGCTGGTAATGATTACTTGAAATTAAGTCAAAGATGATATCCTACCTGATTTTGCTTAAATCAAAGCTATTTAAAATGGGAGTGAAAAACAGAGTTTTCTGTCATTGCGTAGATAAATCAACTCCACCTTTACTTGAAAAATAAAATGGTATGGTCAAGGCTCAATTGCTACTTGGTTTTAATCTGAACATTTGAAATTTCCCTTTACTTCAGGCAAAGAAAAATTTGAGTACTCTTATACACAGGCGAAACAGTCTTTATAAACACTTCTTGAGGACAGATCAGGCAGGTCTAGAGGGAGGTCTCAGCACCAGGAGAGGTAGCCATTGGTTAGCGTTCTGTCACCCGTGAGGGTGCCTTTGTTAATACTTAGAGTGCAAGAATGGCCACAGTTGTTTGTGCTTTTTTAGTTTGAAGGACTGAGCAAAGAAGGGCCACAGAAAATACTCTAGTACTTGAGCCTTTTTCCTAACAAAGCTGAGGTCCCTCCCTGGGGTCAGTTACAAGTGTGAATACTTAGAAAAGCCTCAATAGAGAACCTTTAAGTTTAACGAATGCAGCAGCTAACAGCATATATGTTTTCAGATATTGCTAAAAAATTACTCATCTTTTTGCAAAAGTATAACTTGATCTATAGGGGTTTATTTCCCTGTGCCTTGCACTCACAGACGCATCTACCAGGATGTTAAAAACTAATACACGATGACAGCGCCTCCAGTGTCCTATCATGGCTGTTAGGAATAGGATTCGTGTGTGGTGGATAGGAGAGAAAAAACATAGACTGCAGGAAACATGGTCACCAAAACTGGAGATCACGCAGGAATGAACCTTTCCCAGCAATCATAACGTATGCTTCACGGGACACTGACTAATTGGCAAGTGCTTTGAGCTTTTCTGTGGGTAAGAGCAGTGGTCTTGGAGCTTGGTTCTGTCCAGTGATCAGGAGCGTGAGGATGGGGACTTCACTTCCGCGGGGCGTGAGCTTCCTTCTTCCTTTGCTCTTTCTAGGGACGCTGTGGATTCTTACAATATTTCAATGTCCCATTTCTGTGTTTCTTCTCCCTCCATGGACTGATTTACAATTACATGAGTCTTGTCATAATAATTTCCTCCTAAAATAGAAATTCCAAAAGAAAAGATTATTTGTTCACACAGGTGCGTAACAATTCCACAGGCTTTTGTTGACCCTGTTGGGATAGATTAATGTCATTCACAAAGCAGTCTGAAATGGGAAACTGAGTTTAAACAGGCTTAGCTATTACCCATCTCAAATCAGACCTTATTATGAGTCAATGGAAAAACTAAGAGGTATAATAGATGCTTGCATAGGCTGTGTCCCCTAACTATGTGGCTCAAGCACAGAGTGCTCTGAGAGCTCTGGCTGCATGTCAGGGGCTGCGTTTTTGTTTCTACACCAACAGTGACTATAATTAACCCAATTAAAGCAACAGCCCTGAATAATACTGGCCCTGACCTTGCTGGATTCAAAACCAAGGTTAAATGATACCTACCATAAATTCTAACTGAGGGCTCTTAAGGACTGCAGCAATGCACAGCAAAAAGTTAAGAGAAGTTTCATTCTAAGAAACAGATGACATTCATTTTATGGTTTATGTCATTTACATTTGTTCTCAAAGATCGTGCAGCAAATGAAAACTTTAAACTGTACTATATTAACAAAACCTAAGGCCTTTGTCCTAGGTTTTTTCTGCTTCATCCATATTGCTAATTGTTTTGTAGAGCATATCTTAACTTTTTTCAAGCATAATTAGAAATGACTTAACGTTTCTCTTATACATAAGGATTTCTTCTACCCAGGAGGAGGAGGAGGGCCGTAACTTAAAATGATACCTAGGGACACAAACATTGGGTTTCATCAAAGGCCCACCTTTCACATCAAGGACAAGTTGATCACTGAGATAGGAGCTGATGGTTCCATTTTTGTTCAGTCTCCACTTCTGCCTGAAGTGCCCGTGTTCAGTCCACAGGGCCACTTTAGCTCCGGGTGTGTCCCGACCACCAATCACATCGAGACATGTGTCATTGGCCTACAAGGGTTAAGAAATAAATTGGCAGCACTGTGTTTGCTGAAATCAATTGAATTGGGTCCCTTTTCTTTCATGTAAACAAATCAGACATTACATAACTGTGTCTTATCTAAAACAACTATATGGCATAATTATAATTTCTGTAAACTTTTTTTAAAGTCTTCTTTATGGCTGAAGAGGGGAGGAAATGGTACAGAAATAAACCTACTGAAACAGAGGTTACTTGTTTTTAAAAGGATATCTGCATCTGACAACATGTTCAGTAAAAGTTTGTTGAATTAGAATTAAATGCTAGACTCTGTGAGCTTACATGTATTGGGTCAAGCTTGGTTTTCTTACAAAACATCAGGTGATGTGCTAGATATCCAGACAATAAGTACTTTTAAATGCTTTTCATGTTTGTTGAAGCATAAGAAAAAAAGTAGATAATCCATCGGAGATACAATAAAATGGGTTCTGTTCCCCATCACATCAAACTAATGGAGGGGTCACCAAAAAACAGAGAAACCTACATTTTATTTTCTAAGCTTTCTCTAGTAACAGCTTCTTTCTTCTACTACTACTTCACTGTATGTTTTGAAAATGAGAAGTTTTCAACATGTTTGGAATCACAAAGTTGCTGATTTTTTCTGGGCTGTGGAATAAGGAATGTCTCACACAAGCACACTGTCCAAGTTGGATCCAGTGACTTTTATCATTGGTTTTAAATTATCATTTAGGCATATCCATAGTATGTGATAACTTTAGTTTTTACTTTAAAATAGAAACTGGATTTTCTAGATCAAAAAATTCCCGAAGTCCTCTCACTTAAATGCTTTAGTAATGCACCTCAGTGTTCATATGACTAAACAACAAAATGTTTGTAGGACATAGCATTATTTTATCATTCCATTTGATTTTGCAAGATTCTGGTTTCCAAAAGAAAAAAACAAAGACCAAAACTCAGGGTTCTGATCAGTGGGCCGGTTACCTTGGATTTAAAGAGTCCTCGACAGTAGTACCAGATCTGAGTATTCTTTCCACTGTAGGGAGAGACGCACACAGACGTGGCCCTTGTGTCAGCTGCATTTCCAGTGACTGTCAGATATTCATCCTGGGCTCGGTTCTTTATTCTAATATACACCGCAGGCTATGACGGGGAGAAACAGCCATTTAAAAAGCATCTTTTGAATCTGGATATCAATCCTTCCAAAGAAGGAAAGTGAGAGGTGACAGAATTTAGCTTATTTATATCAGTTTCACCCTTAGTCCCTTTAGCAAATATGTAAAATTAATATTTTCTATCGACAAATCCTTAGACCACCGAGCACAAAGCTTAAATTGTATAATCTCTGTTATACTTTTCTGAAAATGCCCTTTGGAGGGGTAAATGGTGAGTTTCGTTCACTAGAACCCCAGGTGGCAAGGGGCAGTGAAGAATTAGGGACTTGATGAGTTTAATTCAGTAACTACTGTGTCCTCCCTGGGCTTGACAAGGGCAAGGCACTACCTGCAGGGATCACCAACAGCTCATCAAAGACAACACAGTAATCAGACACACGGTCTGCAGCTGGGCCTGAGTGCCAAATGACGCCAGGGGAGGTCTTGAGACACCCAGGGAGCAGGGGCCCCGAGCAGCTGTGGTAACACCTCTGTTTACATTTATACTTGGTTGAACTTTATACTTCTTTAGAGGAAGAGACCGTGCGTGTTTTAATCACTACTTAGGTATTCAAAAATTGAGTAACAAAGGACTTCATCCCCTGGACCTGGAATATATACAGGAAGTTTTAAAATAAAATATTAAATCTAGGATTTCCCTCTAAGGATAATAGCTAACATTTATTGAAAGCTTAGTATATGTCAAGCAGTGTGTGAAATGCTTTCTGGGCCACTCTGTTATCTATCAGAATTAAATAACCAGAACAACCCTTTAAGAAAGTACCATTATGTCTGGAATTTTACAAATAAGGTTAACACAGATGTGGAAAAGCCAGGGCCGTCTGCACCAAAACCCTCCCTCTTAACCAGGATGCTGTAAGGCCTGTGCTGAAATGCAATAGTTACTCTCACACACAGGGAATAAAAGACCAATTCCAAAGATGGCAGTGTGGCTTAAGTAAGATGAAGAAAGGACAGCACATGATGGAAGCTCCACAGAGACCATTCTTTCAGCCCCATGACTCAGGCCTCCAGTCTTAATATAATGAAACACAGGACACGAAACCTCCCCCACCTTGGGTCAGGTGTTGGCAACCCAATTAGAACCTTGCTAAATAACAACAACAAATGGTCTGTTGTTTAATAAGGGAGGACTTTCACTCTGAGAAGCCTAAGTGTTAGGTCAGTGCAACAAGGTGTCATGGTAAGACCAACAAGGAATACTCTACTATTTTGAAACTCAGGACAG